GTGGAGTCTGTATCCGTGTAGCCTGCTCTGTTACCAATGAGGCGTAATCTTTTTTCAGGTGGTTGGTGCTGGACACCGACACTCACGATCTAGTTTCTATGCACACAGATGGCAACGAGATCATTTCAAACATCAAATACTCTCCAGGTAAACATCCTTATTAACCCATCCTACCTGTAACCAGGCTGTTTTTCTACCAGCTGCGCTCTGACCTGGGATCTGTTTGTGCTTCTAGATGGTAACTTTCTGGCCGTCGGCTCTCATGACAACTTTGTCTACATCTATGCTGTGAGCGAGAACGGCAGGAAGTACAGCCGCGTGGGGAAATGCACTGTAAGTCTATTGCTGTGCTCTAAATGTTCTTTGTGACTTTCTCAGGAACTTGGGTAATACTGGAATTAAAATGCTCCTCATTCTTCAGGGTCACTCCAGCTTCGTCACCCACCTGGACTGGTCCAAAGACAGCCAATATCTCGTCACCAACTCAGGAGACTACGAGATCCTCTTCTGTACGTCATTCCTGTTTTCTATTTGCAAAGTTGCTTCACCTAAAACAGGACAACTTATCACTTTAAAAATCTAAATAAAAAGTGTTTAAGCTGCAATGATTGATCAGAACGTCACCAAGATGTTTCATTATTATTCAGGGGAGGCATCCAATGGCAAACACGTGACCAACATGGACATTGTGCGTAACCTGGAGTGGGCCACTTCTACCTGCACTCTGAGCTTCAACGTCTTTGGTAGGTCCTTAAGAAGCAACGTTATAATATCGGCTTAAAGCTAAAGCATCATTTAATATCTGATGGATTATAAGTGTCACAGGATGCATACCTGATGGAAAAAAGGTGGAATCACATTCTATTTCAGAAGGATGTATGGGGAAGAGTCATCATACAGCTGACAAAAATAACCGAAAATAGTATTAAATTAATGTGTTGATTTAAAAATATGCAGATAAAACATATCAATTGATACTTTTTTGCTGCAGTTCTGATTCCCTGCTTGGTTCTTTAGTGGTTCAACGAGGAAGAATAACTTTCTTTTTCAAACACATTTCAGTATACAGGCATCTTTTTTTATTTTTAAATTAACAACAAAGATTTCCAGACAGCTTTTGATTCAAGTGACAAATTCTATTAAATCCTAAAAGCCAAAGCAATATCTGTGTTTGCAGTACAACATAATATCTAGCTGGATGCTATACAAAAGATTATTTGCCCGTTTTCAGCCCTCTAGTTAGTTGTTTGATCTCTAATCATTCTTGTATTTCGCACTTTGGCCACTTGGTGGGTCTTCGAATCCACCAGTGCAATAGAATGCAGCACAGACTGCTTTAATCTGTTACATCAACAGTGTTCTTCGTCTTTTAAAAAAATAAATAAATACACTTAGACAGATCCATGTTCCGTGCATTAAAGATAAAGACTGAAGTAAAGATTACTTCCAGTTAAAACCTGGATCTGGATAGTCACTTCTTCCTTTACAACTCACCTGGACGTATACATTCACTGTCCTTGCTAATTTAAATAACATTTGTTCACACTGTATGTCAGTATTATATTTGGCTGGTTCCATTATTGATCTTCAGGTGGACCAGATGTTTATTTCCATTGGCTGATTGTTGCTAAAGCTCTAAGAAAACGGTGAAAAAAATGGAATAGAAAATAAAGAATTGGATGAACTTTAACTGTGATGAAATTAGTTTTAAATGTGACTAAAGCTTAGAAAGTAGAGTGTGTTGTTTTGTAATATCAAAGTTGTAGTTTCAGCTCTTCCTCCTTCTGTCACTGTGTCCTGGTCTCTTCTGTTTAAGATAGAGATCAACTAGAAAAGCACAATAGAAGTTCAGTCTATTATTATTAATGTTGCCCCGATGCCATTTTTTTGGCCCTGATACCTAATACCCGATACCTGGCTGTGCAGTATAGGCCGATAGTGATACCATCTGTTTGAAATTGATGTGTGTGTATATATGAAGAACTACATAAGACTTGGATGTAAAATAATTGCCATCATGGCTTTGTCAAGCTGCTGCCTATCTTTGTGAAGCAAGAAAAAGACTAATCCAAAGTGAATCTAGTAGAACATTTTATTGCCTCCCTGGAATGGGTGACAATAGCTGAATAAACTTTTGGCTCTCAAAATGATATTGGTTCCCTATTTGTACCGTTTTAGTGCTGGATTGCGACCCTGCCTGATACTGGTATTGGTGCAATACTAATTATTATAAGCTGTATCGTTTCAATTGCTGTTAAAGAAAATGCTGAATGCAGTTGATGAATCAAACTTGCTAAATATCAGATGATCTAAGTCACTTTAAACTGTCTGTGTAACCAAAAAAACAGAAAAACTTTAGTTTTTCTTTGTCAGCCTCATTCCCTGTTCCTTTTGACTCTAAAACTCCTGGCTACCTGTGGTGATGCAAACACTAAGATCTCTGGACTGTAAAGCTACTGTAGGAAATGTCAGAGAGAGATAGTTCTAGATGGTGGCAGGCAATTCATGCTTTCAGCTTTCATTATTTTTTTAATGAAAAGATTTATTTATTTATTTATTTATTTTTACACAAATACCCACAGAGGTCCTCCTTTATCATTTCCTGCCTGCTAAAAAACAGAACATGATGTGAATACCAATACTTATCTCCTGCTGACTCCCCCCCGCTGTCCTCCTCTTTGTCTCCCAGGAGTTTGGCCAGATGGAGCAGACGGCACAGACATCAACGCCGTGTGCAGGTCACATGATGGATCCCTGCTGGCCTCTGCTGATGACTTTGGCAAAGTGCACTTGTTCTCCTTCCCCTGCTCCCAACCAAGGGTCGGTCACATTCACCACCAGTTAGCCCGCTTCTAGCCCCCACAATATCTCACATTTCAGCTTTAAAATGTAGCATAAAAATCAACAGTTTTTTTTTTACAACTTTGTAAAAGACATAAGAAACCTAAAGAGGGGAAAAAAACAAGAATGTTCAATGCTCAAAACCATTAAACATATAAATCACTTCCACCAACTTAAATTTAAAGATACAACAGGTTTTAAAGCTTTATAGTTTACTCTAAACGCCTTTTATTATGGGCAATAAACTAAAACCATTTAAAAAACAAAAGTATATTAAATATTTTACTAAACTTTAAGCAAAATATTATTCTGAAACTATAATTAGTTCCAGTAAAATGTACTTAAATTAAGGAAGAGTTTTTTTTAGTAATTTTAGCCTTAATTTAAACTCCTCCTTTAATGAAGAGATCAACTAAAACATAATCTAATATCAGATCAGTGTCTGTTGTCTCACTCAGCATCTCTGAGCCACTGAAAAAAAAATGTCTGGAATGAAATGTTCAAAAACTAGATCAAAGATCATCGATCAAAATATTTGGTGGATAAAAAACATTCTGTATGGTGGTGAGAACACCTGTAATGTTCTGGTAATTTACAGTTACTTAAAATAATTTACAGGTAATTTTACAGATGAATAAAAGATTGTCCTTTTTATGGAGAAGAATGTTTAAAATTTACAATGTGCAAATATAATGGGAAATGTCTTAGATACAAGCAGGAACATTTTGTTTTCTCTAAGATTAAAATTTCTACATATCTACATATATGAACTTACATCAAATAAGTGTTTTTTTTTTCATTAATTCTTCAATGTGACTTTCTTGCCAATTTAAATTATCTTAATTCCATAAGAACCAGTGAGTAAAAATTATGCAAAACATTTAGAAATAAAACTAAAGTTTTAATAGATTTTCTTTCTTTTTTTCCCCCCACTCCCTCCATTAATATTACTTTGTGATAACCAACCCCACAGCATGTGATAATCAATATAGAGTCTGTTTTGTTTGTTGCAGGGTAACCTTTTTGATCTAGTTATTCTATCCAATAACTTTTTAATATAATAAGATATTGGATAAAAAGCAAATACTTTAATTAATAGAGCCTTTAAGCTTTCTCCTGATACAAAAAATATTTTTTTCTAGACAAACATTTATATAGGAATTTGGCACAAATGTTGAAAATGTAACTAGGATCACCAGTGTCCCCTAACTATGAATTGAGTGAGATTTAAAAAAAAAAGGTCAGTGTTCATCGTCATGGTGATTAATCTGGCTATCTGCTCTGCTAGAGGCAGTAGTCAGCTGCTTAACCCTTTATATCGAGAGTTACTGCTTTTGATCACCTGCAAACGCCTTACAAATGGAGTCTCCCCCGTCCCTCAGTGAGATCTAGACGCACAAGATCTATATCCAGCCATTCAGCAAAGATACTACTACATGGCTGTACATCTCATTTCAACAATTAGATGAGCCCTTTAATGATATATTACCTACTGTAAATTAGTAATTGATAACAAGTCAATTGAAAAGTTAAAAAGTAAAGTTAAAAAATTAATAAGCCTAGTTAACAATTATATTTAGGTTTATAAACTAAAAAATGTAAGTGCCAGTATCAGCATTAATGCCTCTAAGGTTATGTTGGACCAAAAAATTTTTTTCTTTTACTCTGTTTGTTTTTTATGAATTTCTTATTGAAGCGCTTAATTTTTCTTAATACATATAATAATCAAAAATCTTGTTATTACATTGACATTCATTTTTTCCATCAAAATATCCATATTTTTTAATGTTACAAAGGTAATAAGGTCTTGTCCTGCATTCCAATAACACTATTGGCTTGAAATTTAGATTTTCAAAGTACTTCACTGAGTGCCTTATAAAGGGTTAATAGAGATCCCATAGTTTTAAAGCTGTGGTGCTTTGATAATAGCGATGGTTGGTGCTTCTTCTGCTTCTCCAGCATGTGTGCACATTTTTCACCAGAAATATTATAAAACGGCAGAATTTATCTTTCCTGCAGGTGAAAGGCATACAGTAACAGCCTGGCTTCATTAGAGCTTGATAACTCTGACATTTTGTTTTTTTTTGGATCTCCATTGAAAAACTCTTTGAATATTTTGGGAGCACTAATTGATCTGTTGTTTAGCCATACTGTGAAAAATGGGGTTAAATAAATTTTGAACCTTTAATGAAATGTTTATTTATATTAAACAGGCTCCAAGTCATGAGTACGGCGGCCACAGCAGTCATGTGACCAACGTTGCCTTCCTGCACGACGACAGTCACCTGATCTCCACCGGCGGGAAAGACACCAGCATCCTCCAATGGGTTGTTGCCTAGAGACCACCTCTATCATGTCCAACCCCGCACTCGCCTCTTCACCGTTATATCCTTCCCTGCCAACAGGTGGCAGCACCCCTCTGTGCCTACTGGAACATAAATTACAGCAATGTTCCACAGGGGTCAATGCAGACCACAATAATCAGTAGTGATAAACGTGAAACGTTTATGAAAGAGAATTTAAGTTGTAGTGATGCAGAAATGTGATATTACCTGGTTTCCAGCTGGATGGTGAAGATGGGGACCACATGACATGCCGGTGATTTCTCACATTAGTACTTCCTGTGCCTGAACCGTCTTCATCTTAATCCCCTTTAAATGGAACTCCACCTGTTTTAGAAGGCACACTTTGGGCTAAATGGGGCTCCTTTATTATGAAGCACTTCTAAATGCACATTTCTAGTTCTGGTTACACCTAAATTCTTGGTTGTAGTTTTTCTATCATACTTTATTCAATATGATAGAAAAACCCCAAAAGAACCGCACTTCATTTATTTTGTTTGGGCACAAATGCAGTCTATTATTCTGAGCATGCACGGGTCTCTCCTTTAACTGAAAACTACAGTTTCACCTTTAAACTTGAAACAAACTCTTGCAGGGATTTAGTAAAGTAGAATGTAATTTTATCAGTTTTAAATTCCAAAGTTGGAGAGATTGGTGTGTTTTTTAGAAAAAATTGACTGACCTGAAAATGATGTTGGATCCTAAAACAGCTGGAGTTCCCCTTCAACTACTGAGGATGACCCCTTTGTCTTGTTCTCTTCCACTTATCCGTCTGCTTGATTTCCCCTTGTCCTGTTGAGGTGAAGATTGTTCCTAAATGTTCATCTGTTGCTTTAGGAGATGAGCAGTATAAAGTGTCTGTTTCATTTCAACCCTCTCTCCCCATGCTGCTGTGTTTTGATTGTACTACTGTAACTGTGCTGAGATGGCACTAGGTGGCGCCGCAGTGCAAGAGAATGAGCATGACTGAGGCTGCCCTCCTGCTGTAGATGCTCCTAATGTCTGTAATCTTCTATACTCCACAGTAGATTTGAGTGACCGTGTTATTTTAATATTTATCTCTAACAATAATGGATGTTAATATAAATGTGGCACTTTTAGCTGTGGACAGAAATAATATGTAGGCTGCTGTGCTGTTGCAGTGAGCTGTGCTTTGCCTTCTGCTTTGCTAATAAATTTTTTTTTTTACCCAAATGTTCTGGAGGATTTTTATGTAAAAAAAAAAAAAAAAAAAAAAAAAAAGCTGAAATATCTAATGCTAAATTAACTTAATATATACCATCACTGCTAAAGAGTTTATATCTATTGAAAATTCAGTAACAACTGAATTAAATATTTCCTTTTATCTAATAAACAAATTAAACTACAGGTGGACTTTAAATCCAAACATTAATAGCTGATTTTATTTTATTTATTTATATTTTTTAACACAATGCTGTAAAACGGTATCATATCAATACTTTATGATGAGACCTTGAAGCTCTATCTGCTGTACAATAGCATAAAATGTTTTAAAACAGCTTTTTCTCATTTAAAACAAAAGAAACAAAAACTTCCTGCTGTCTAGTGAATTTTTTTCATTGAATAAATCTTAAAAAAAGAAATATAAACTAATGAATTTCCTCTGATCTACTTAAAAATATCTACAGTCAAATATCATATACATGCCGCATAATAAAACTTGAATGGCCCTTGCACTGGAAAAAATGTAGATCTAGATTAGTCGTTTTTTCTTAAAATAAGCGCATTTGTTCTTGAATTGAGAATGTAAAAGAGACATTTTGCAAATGCAACAAGACAATTTACATTTAAATAAGAAAACACCATTGCATTGTCTTATTTCAAGTGCATTTTATCTAAATATCTTAATTTAAGAGTAAAAATACTAATTCCATTGGCAAATCATCTAATTTGCCTACTCAAATTAAGGGTAAATACACTTAATTTAGGAATTTTACTGATTTCTAGATCGTTTTTCCAGTGTGTTGATTAGAAATGTTATAGTTTATTGAAATGTATTGTTCTCCCCACCAGCTTGTTCTACACTTCAGAAGCTCAATTGTGCCTGCAAATTGCAAAACTATTCTGTGTTTGGGATCTTCATATAGTTCCAGCATCCACCTGATAAAAGATTAAAGGGAATTTGTCAGGGAGCTTTTTAATACGCCAAGAAAACACAGGATACATCCCATTGTAAACTGGAGGATGCTGGAATCCCAGTTAAACCAGTTTATCTTTAACTTAGTCAGTAGAGAGCAAAGACTAACACTAATTTCCTTCAATCTGAAATGAGATTTACTGCTGTCTATATCGACAAACTTGAAGAGAAACATTTTATTATTCAATAAAATATTTTATCCTGAGAGAGTAATATTTGGATGTGAACAGCTCTGTTTCTTTCTGTAAAGCACAGTGATAACAGTGTCATGTTGCGGGGCTGTTAAGTGACCGGTTTGACAGCTGTTTTGCAGCAATTACATTTTGTTTTTTTTGCGGACATTGAAGAAAATTGAAATTAAGTCAATGGAATATCGAAGTAAGAAGATTAACTTGAAATCAAATTAATAATGTGTGTTAAAAAGGGACGAGGATCACAAATGAATGTCCAGTTTTAAGTTTCCTTCTGCATCATCAAACCAATGGCACCACCCTGATGAAAATGACTGGATGACGTTTAAAGAGGGGTGTGTGGAGGAAAACCAGTCTGAAAGATTTCCATCAACTCTGCCAGGATGAGTGTTCAAAAATAAATCTGAATAACTTTGTAGAATATTGTTAAGAACCCACAAACAGACATACAAAACCCCAAACCTTATTATTGTTTTTTTTTTTAGAAAAAACGTTTTGTAGACATTTCACAATTGATCACAGTTATCAAAAATATTCAACTGTGAATGTTTTAAATAAAAAGAAAATGTGAGCAAACAAAAAATTTAGTTTTGAAGCCATGATGTCATTTATTAGAGGAAAAGGCTATTTCAACCAACTTAATCTAAGTAACAAATAATTATCTTCCAAACCTAACTTATGGCAATGGTTCTCATTAAATGTGAACTGGACCGGCCCTATGTCACGTTTTTAGACAGGTTCTGTTTGAGCCTGTGTTGGTTTTGCTGATCTACTGGTCAGGCAGTGACCGGGTCTAAGCATGTCTGGTGAAAATGATGCTAAATTATACTTTATCTTTTTATTTCTTTTGAAAGAGAATCGAGTCATGAGAAAACAAAAAAGGACAGAGTGGTTCTCATGTTCCCCGAGACATTTAATCAAATAAAACAGAACAGAAAGACCCCGACAGTCTGAGGTCTTTTCCGCTGGAGTACAAGCCTAAGGCATGACCACACACACACACACACACACCCACACACACACACACACCACCACACACACATCACCCTAACCTCACACACAAACAAGTGCATACATTTCATTTGGGAGGATATCTGAGTTTTGTTGAAAAACTTGGTTTCATGACCCCAAACTTCATCTGAAGATTATCTCACCTAAAAGATAAAACAGCTTTTTATCCTAAAAAATGTTTAAAATTAATTCAAAAACAATATCAGAAGGACTGTATGTAAAATAACAGGTTATTTTATTTTCCTCTCATTTAAACTGTTATTTATTAACAAATGTGAGATTTCTAGGAGCAGGATCTCTCTGCAGAAAAAAACAAACAAACTCTGATCTGCAAGGGGCTCAACCAAAGCAATGTACAACTAAAACCAAAACAAGCAATATAATATGTGCTGCAGACTTCATAGAACGCTGCTGTGTGCCAAGATGCTGTTTGAAATAAGGCAAACAACAACTAATACTTCTTACAATGTTTCAAAACACTATAAAAGATGTGACATGAGAAAACATCTCAACAATGAATAATAAAGACCACCAATGATTCCTACTAAAAACTTAACATTGTCCTAAAACCAGTAAGTTTTCATTCAGTGAAGCCAAACTTTCACTAGAGCTTTATTTTGCATTTATCTAAAATACAGTAAACATGTCTTTTTAGTTCTCTTATTATCATGTCTTTTTATTTGGATTTTGGATCATTACAGATCTTATTGTACAATCCAAAGGAGAGCATATGAGATAAATTACTTATTTATTAAATATAGACACGTTTTATGCAACACAGTATTTCGATTAAAACTAAATTAATACTAGAGTTAATTGGAGTAAAACTTACTGGGTAAATAGTAAATGAAAAGAACCTAAAGCTCTATTTTAGTTATATAAACTACTCAAAGTACTCTACATCAGAGTCAGATTCACCCAACTGCCCTCAATAACTAAAACAAAGTGAGCGGGGTTAAGTGGACATGTGACAGTGGAAGCTGGAATTCAACCCACAACCTTCATATTGAAAGAATGACACTCCACCCATGAAGCCAGAGTTACTCACTGTGCATCTATTGCTTTTTCTTTTTTGATGAAAGAAATAAACCAAGAAGAGCTGCAAAGTATTTGTTGTAAACTTAAAAAATCTGTCAAAAGTTAAAAGAATTTGAGTGATTACCAGAAAGATAAATCAAGAATTTAATATTGAAATGTGAAAAATCTTTGAATATGTTTTTCTCTTTAAGCAAACCAACCTCCTTGCTAGGTACGGCTGGAATAAATGAAGTTTAGACACCAATTAAAACTGGAAGACTTATCCAAGCATCACCTCCACAAATCAGCTTACCATGCGCCTCTGTTCCAGCCAATCAGCTTCAAGTCCTCCTTCCTCTTCAGCCATCCGGTAAGGCTCTGATTAAAGCTCTCCATTCGTAGGCTGAATCCCAAACCGCCCCCTAACCACTAACCTTTAAGTGTCACTCCTAATGAAGTCTCACTCACAGCTGTGGGAGGCCCCTGGGTTATACGTGGGAGGTATTAACGAGAATGGGAAGGCATCTTCCATCCAATGGAAAAGGAAAGTAGTCATTGCTATGGCAACACAGGGATGCCACATGTGCATGAGTGTTAGCTCTCTGGAGCTGGTTGACTATGAATTATGTATTACACACAGATAATTCAAACATTATTACTCCAAAAAAGCAAAGAACAAAAACATTCTTATTTCTACTTTGACAATTTTGGCTTTTTTTTTGTAAGAATTTACACCTTGGTTTCTGCTGCTCTGGGTTCAAAGTAGATTTATATCCAAAGGGGTCTGATATAAATAAATTACATAAAAACCCTACAAAATTGCCTTAGAATACCATGGAAATCCGGACCTAAATTTCAAGAATATACTAACTAAAATACTGACATGTAGAAAGGAAACGGAGAAAATGTTTTAATGACAATGCAAAGAAACATTTACTTCATATTTGAATAGATATAAACAAGAACTATGAGAGAGACATATTCAAAGATCTATGTACTTTTTCATCTGAATCTTTATCCAAAAATAAAAAGAATGCAATTAAATATTTGCTTTGGATATAATTTAGGGATTCCTTGTTGTAGAAAATACAACAATAAAGTAAGTTTTGTATCACCTCTTGTGAGCTAGAAGAAATAAAATATTGATAGTTATATAGTTACACTTGGCAGAGGA